TTTAAAAACATCGTTCAACTTCGAAATAACATTTATTTTTTGATTTAATTTTATTTTTTATGGATTGCTGTTAATGTCTGACAGTTAACCAACAAAGCAAAATCCTCAGTTTTTCTCTATGCATATTTGAATTTAAAAAATTCCAAAACGAAAAATTGCAAATTAAGCCGAAGACTGGCAAACAATATGCGACAAGACGGAATGTTTTCATCGGCTGTGATTCACATTCATATGAAAATGAGTAATGTTTTTGTTGGCCGTGGGGGAAAAGACAAATTGAAAAAATTCCAGAGTCAGTCACTTTTGAAAATGGTGCTTAAATATCAAAAATAATCACAGCTACCACATGCGTCGTACTGATAAGGGAATGAGAGCTTGAAAAAGTGGCGACCCTCGTAGCTGCATGATGCTGATAAGAGAGTGATGAATTCAAAGCGGGTCGTAAAAACGCAGCTGAGAAAACATTGCTGCCATAAATGGGCGCAGGCATTGGTAACTTTGGAAAAAGCGATATATGCGGCAAAACTCACCAGGACATCCTGGATTCCGGACATAACAAATTTCTTGAGCGACATCTTTTCCGGCAAATGAAGCGATGGATCGATCGGTTCGGTTGGATGATCGGGAGCTGAGCAGTGGTGGTTAAATAGAACGAGGAGAGAGAGGATGAGTCACGACAACACGGGGCGGAACGCCGAGGAGGCGCGCCAAGGCGAGGCTGCGCTCGAGTGCATGATGCTACTGGGTACGGGTAAAAAAATACCCGGCAGCTGGTGTGAGTCATCGCGCTATGAGGGTAAAGCTGCGCAAAGCCACCCAGACGTCTCAAGTGTCACACCTGGTAAATTACAAACACAAGACTTTCATCATGCCTTGAGTTAGCTAAGTCTACAAAGCTTCTGTTACGAAATGAGCTCGTGATTACGCAAGCTGTAAGGTACTGAGGTTTACCTAATGAGTTCCTCTATTTCCGTCAGCTCAAGCTAACTCAACCTATCTAGGTGTCCTAGGCTCTTACAGGTACATCGATGCACTTCAAGTACTTCATGATATCGAACACAATTTTTGTACTTCTACATTCAAAAATTGCAAAGAAGCAAATCCAGCACGAAGAACTAGCTTGTCCAACCGAGACTGTTTCCAAGCAAATTGCTGAAGTAGATAGTTACTCTATTTGGTTGCCTCATAAGGCACCAATTTTCTAAAATCTGAACTCTCTGATATTTTTGGTACTTTTTTGCACCGAATAACAAAAGAGTAAAATCGTTATTGCATACAAACACTTTCATGGTATCCTTTTTGCCCATAGGGTTCATTTTATATAACAATCAAACAATAAATCGT